CTTAGAGTTTCGTAAAGCTAATGAAGAACGAGGAAGATTATTATGAGCAATTCACAAAGCATTTGAGTCTCTTCTGTATATGAAGTGCTGTCTTTGGGAATGGGGGGAGGAACAAAGCTGTAACACAGGGATGATTCTGGCGTCCAGGTTCTAGGGTGCAAAGTAGGTGGTCCTGCAGCTGTTGACAGCACAGAGCTGGCTGAAACATTTAACTGAAGGATGAGTTTTAGGTAGTGGGTTTGAAGAAATGAGTGCTGCCTTGATTGGAGTGTATCAAAACATGTAAACTTTTTTTACAGGTAGAAAAAGATTTGAGAGAAGGCACTGTAGGCACACTAGCAGAACACGTAAGTGTATAGTACGGGAGATTAGAGAATAAGGTTAAACCAAGCATGGAGAAAAACTCAACTGGGGACTTAGTGGAGGGAAACAAGTGAGAAAAAGTGAGTATGTTTTATATGGAGTTGAATGTAAAGAAGCAGGTGAGGTGGGAGGGGCGTGAGCTTTTGAATGACAGAAATGCTGTTTCCCTGCTCACCATGTGACCTGGGTGAACTTCTCAATTTCTTACAGCCTCAGTGTGTTCATCCATAAAGGAGGATAGTAATACAACCATGTAAGGTTATGAGGAGTTTTAAAAAGGTGGATGTAACATACCAGATACATTATCTTACATATAGTTGACACTCAAGACGTAGGTATACTGATATTTTATCTATATATTTTTTCAGGAGGGAGGGAATAGCTCAAGTGGTGGAACACATGCTTAGCATGCACGAGGTCCAGGGTTCAATCCCCAGTACCTCTTCCAAAAATAAATAAATAAATCTAATTACCTCCCCCCTCCAAAAAAAGAAAAGAATTAAAGTCTTGGAGTCTTCTGAGTAGTACCCAAAAGAACTGAAAGCAGGGACTCCTGAAGGTTTATTTATGCTCATGTTCACAACAGCATTATTCACAACACCAGGAAGGCAGAAGTAACTCAAATGTCCGTGGATGGATGAATAGATAAACACCATGTGGTGATTTCATAATGGAGTATTATTCAGCCTTGTAAAGGAAGGGAATTCTGACACATGCCACAACAGGGGTGAACTCTGAGGACATTATGCTGAGGGAAATAAGCCAGTCACAAGTGAATAAATAGAGTATGGTCCATTTCTCTCAGGTACCCAGAGGAGTGGAATTCATGGGGACAAAGTAGAACGCTGATTGTTAGAGGCTGAGGGAGAGGAAATGAGAAGTTATTTAATGGGTATAGCGATGCAGTTTTGTAAGACAGAGTTCTGGAAATTCATGGTGGTTTTGGTGGCACAACAGTTTTAATAAACTTAATGCAGCATACCTCTACACTTGAAAATGGTTAAAATGGTAAATTTTACATTGTTTACCCTATGCGGTGGATTTAATATTATTTCATAAGCATTTGTTCATAAGACTACAAACATTTTATCAACATCATTCAGTAGTGCTTTGTTGCAGAAGGAAATGGCGTTCCTATTTGGTTGCCATATAATTTGGTTTCACTGAGATTAATTTTTTTTTGATATTTCAGTAGAAGGAATAATTCATACCAATCTAAATTGGAAAAGTACCACAGAGATCATGGTGTCTAATACTTTGGGATTATAACTGAGACACAGTCCTGGAAGTTGTTTGTATTTAAGTTGATTTTATTATCTACATATCATTTAAAAATATATTCATTAAAATAATTTTCCATGCTATGAATTGGCTTACACAGAAGGCTCCCACCTCATCAATTCCCGCACGTGTAACAAAGACCTTGCTCCTTGCGTGTGATTCCAGCATTTAAAGCACTGCTATTTTTGTTCAACATGGCCCTGAAATATAAGCCAATCATAGGAATTTGGGGGCAGAATTATGCCTAGAAATATTAAAGTAGTTGTGATTTAACTTAACTGTAGGATAATTCATATTATAGAGTACATACAAGCCTTGTACTTCTGTTGATGTAAAGGATTTTAAGAGCAATTCTGACATACAAATACAGGTTTATGTACCCATCTTTGAAATGTATACTTTGTGAGTTATAACTTGACCGTAGCATGAGTTGAGGCTGGTGATGTCAGTGGTGAGGTGGAATTAAGCAGGTTCTTATAAAGCATGTTAATGATGTTGCTCTGTATTCTAAGAGTCATGGAAAGTGATTTGGGCTTTAAGCAGGGAAGTGATGTGGTCATAGTTATTAAAAAGGCAAACAGTCTGTGGTGTGAGAATGGATGAGAAGAGGTAAGAGCTGGATGGAGGGAAGGCTGGGAGGCTCTTGGAATTGACAAAACAAAGAGGACTGGGTTTGGAGGGAAGATTGTGAATTCATTGTTGGACATGTTGATTTTGAGGTCCTCTGATGGGACTGTCAAGTATACATTTGGATATATGTGACTCTAAGCCAGAGATGTAAACTTGCGAGATGGCAGGGTTAATTGAAGCCAAGTGTAGATGAATTTGAGAGTCTAGGACTAATTGAGACAGAGACTAAGAAGACATGGCCAGAGAGGCAGAAGAAGGGGGAACCAGGAGATGATGCTATCAGAGGAACCAAAGGGGAGCTTGTTTGAAGAAGTAAAATAAAGTGGTCAAAATGCTGAATGCTGCTACGATTAAGACTGAAAAAGTGTCCATTAGGCTTACTAAATATGATAATTTTAGTGAGAGCTGTTTTGATGCAGAGATGCTCTCAAGCTAGAATGAAACCGGCTGAAAAGTGTGAGGTGAGGTTGTCGAGAGGAGCTACTTCAAGAAATTTAACTCTGAAGGAGAAGCGAGAGGTGGCACAATCATTGGGAGGAAAGATAGGGCCGGGGGACGGGAGAGACCCGAGTGAGTTTAAATGTTGACAGCAGCCAGTAGAGAACGTCTGGTGGGGAATCTGATACATGCAAGGGGGCATCCACGCTGCGGTTCCTGCTAGGAGTGCACCTTGATCCTGAGGCTGGGAGTGGTGGCTGGCCTCCCAAGATGCCGCACCTCATCTGTGGTGGTAGGGGTGAAGGAAAAGGACCATTGTTTATTTTCCTCAGTCGCTGCTGTATTCATCGATGTCCAAACAGGAAACAGAAACTGCATAGTAATTTGAACAGGGGAAGTTTAATATAAAGAATTAACTGTAGGAAATTACTTTATAAGAGGAAGCATGAGCTCTGCAGAGGACAGGAATAGGAGAGACGGCATCCGCCACCCCGGCGCTCCGGCAGAGCATCCGGGGAAGGAGCGCGTTTGGAAGAGTCCACCCTCAGCCCCGCTTTCCCTCACTGGCTGAAGTCACGGGGCACTGGCGGCAGGGAAGCTTGATGCTGTGCCAGCTGCCAAAGGAGAACCGTTTCAGGGTCCACCTGTGTCAGCAGCAGCCGTGGAGCTGAGACACAGCAAGTTGGCAAGGGGCACATCCGTTATTGATCGTTTAAGTTTTTCTGGTTTTTCTGTTGTAATGAGTGTAGTGATGAATATCCTTGTACGTTAATCTTTGTGCACATATGTATCTTCTTTAACTCGCATACCTACGAGCTAATCACCTTGGAGCATGCTTAGATAAGATGTGATGAGTGGTTCTTAGGTTTTGCTGTTTGCTTTTGTATACAGGAAGTATTTCTGGAGGGAAAGGAGAAACATAGATTGTCTTTAGGGAAGGGAACTGGGTTTTATGAACCTATTCATAAAAGTAAAAGTTTACAAAATTTTTTTTGGTAAATGTAAAAAATGTTAACCTGTTTTTGTTAAATTCAGCTTTATTGTTTCATTTCTCAGTGTATTCCAGTTTACTAAACAGAGTTGTCCTGTCTTACTCTGTCAGCTGAAGGCACCTATTTTCTGACCTTACTTCTACATCATTTGCTGCTCAGAATGAGTCAGGATATTTTCACTTAGCTGTTTCCTCTTACTGCTGTAAAACCCAGGTCATCCATTTCCTCGTGTGTCTTTGCCCCTCGTGTGGCTTCGACGTGATGCTACCACAGTGCTCGGCCTCCTCGGAGCTGCTGACTTTTAGTGTCAGCCGCTGGGCGGTTCCGTGAGGGCAGGACCGTGAGACGGAGTGTTAGAGTACTGGCCACTCTCCCAGGTTCTGAGTTTTCTTTCTGAATTTATTCTCCTCTTCCTGTTTCTGCAATAAAGCCTTCAAAAAGAAGACTGTTTCTTAACCTGACAATAGTGATAATCACTTTAAGAGATGCTTTTACCCTGTAAATATTTCCTTATAGATTAAGACATAATAAAATAATGCTGAAAACTGTGGCGGTAGAATCTGGTTGTTTTAAAGCATGTGAAAAAAATATTTATTAGTCCTATTTTTGACCTTTGCCAAGATACATTTTTAGTTCAGTGCGGACTCAAGAATTTACATCTGGTACACTGGTATTACTCATTAGTTTTTTTTGTTTTTATTTTTTAAACTTAAACTACTAAAGCAGAAAGGATTGATTTTGAAATAAGAGAAAAACAGTATTTTGAATTTTGATGCTTTAATCTGCATTATTTACAGTGTTTTTTTACAACTAAAATTTTAAGAAAGCCAGATGATCTTTAATTTTATATCTCATTTCATTGAATCATTGTCTATTTTGCTGCTTAAGGGAGCAGAAAATACTCTGTACAGTTTCTGTTAAGGCCTACCAGAATTTTTGTAACAGTTCTTAAATTCTTTAAAAAATATTTTTCTAAAAATCTTTGCCATTTCTCTGTAGGAAAGAGAGTAGATTATTAAGACTAAGGGACACATGAAGTACAAAGAAGTTGAATACATTTATCTTTGCGCTGTCTTAAGTTCCGGCGCAGAGGTGTTTGCTATGTTCAGTGCTAGTCCCCACCGTCCATCCCTGGGGATTCCTTGTATGCGAAGAATCAAATCTAGTGCTCATGTTACGGTAGGCGTCTGTTAAGCTTTTGTTGAGCTAGGTGATGATTAGTTTGAAGTTCATTATTATGACGTTCTTACAAATTTAGTGGTGGTTCTTCAGTAATTTTCTGGGTTGATTTTTCAGGACTGCAAGAGTATGTGGAGGCTGTCTCTTTTCAACACTTCATCAAAACACGATCACTTATCAGTATGGATGAAATTAATAAACAGTTGATTTTTTCAACAGAAGACAATGGGAAAGAAAATAAGACTGTAAGAATTTAAAATCATATTTCACATTTATTACATAATTTATGTAACAGTATAATGATTGTAGGATTAGGAATTTTGAGAGTGGAATGTTCTTTCTGAAGTGTGATTTCATAGATTGCCAGCTAGGGACATGGTCCTTTTAAATGGCTAGTGGATAAAACATATGTGGGTTTGTTGGGGAAAATAATACTCTACCTAAAGCATTATTGAGTGATTGCTGTAAGTCCACCTTCGGTTTTATTGTGTGTTTACTGTGTGCCCTTTATAAGCACTATCCCATGTAATCCGTCTACTAACCTTCTAAGGTAAGAATTATTACCCTCATTTTACAAAGAAGGAAACATGCTTTTAGAGAGTTTTAAGTAACTTACCAAAAGCTACACAACTAGTAAGTGTGATGGCTAACTTTGAAACCAGGTGTCTGGGATCCAGAGCCGGGGAGTGTCCTTGTCCACCCTGGCAGTGTTTCTCCAAGTGTGCTGGAGGGACCCCTGCGCCAAGTATCTGCCTCAAAGGAGTGTTATTAAGGATTTGATTTAAAGGTTTTAAACCAGGCAGTGTGCATACAGCACATGACAAGTAAGCGCTCGATGGTTAGTTGTCATGGTGAGAGATGTTAATCACTTACTCAGTTTGTAATGCCTGTATCTGCATTATTATGCAGTTCTTCTAAATTAAGAAAAGAGGAACTTATATGCAGTTCAACTTTTATATAAATACTTTTTTTTCCCCCTGAGTTTCAAGAGACAGTATTCAGGCAATGAGGTAAGATTTTGAATACTTTGTATCTCCTAAGATAGATACCAATATACTAAAAAAAATAAATAAATAAACTGTTTTTCCTTTATTTTTCATCATTTTTTCTTTTGTTATTATTTTTAAAAAATCACCAGAGTCAGGATAGGTAGGCAGAAGGTGGGAAAATTATGTTTTCTTGAATTTTTACTAAAACATTAATATTGAAAAGTGAGGCTTAATTTGACATGACAGATATAACTTACTTTGAGGAAAATTATGTTTTTAAAAATATAATATAAAAAATTATGTGAAGCTTATTAGGAAGGGATTCATCTTGAGAAGTAAAATTTCTTCTTATTTTTGATTAAATTAGTAAAATTGAGTTACAGAAGGAGTAAGGTAAGCCTATTTGATCCTGCTTCTTAAATATATTAGGGAGGTTTCCACACCCTTCTTTCAAGTTCTAATTCATGGTGGAAATATCAGGGCAAAAAGGTAAAGAGAAACTGAGAGTAAACGCACTGTTCTGGGGATTTAGGTAGTAAGTTATTCTGAGACTGTTTTGTCATAATATTCACATATATCCATGTCTCGTATTTTTAAGACCACAGTCAAATAATTTTTCCTCTTAGTGCTGCAGCTTCCTGGTGCTGAAAATTCTGGGAATTCAATAGGGGAAGGTATTTTGGTCTGACTTGCCTATGGAGCATATTGTCAAAACCATTTAATATTTTTAAAACTTTTTATTATGAGAAATTTCAAGTATATGCAGAAGTGGAGAGAACGGTATGAACTGTGAACCCACTACCTGGATTCAATAGTTATTAACATTTTGCCATATTTGCTTCATCAAAATATTTTTTGCTAAACTAAATTATAGTTGTCATAGTATTTAACCCCTAAATACTTCAAGATTCATCTTGAAAAACTGTATTTTAAGTAATTGTCTTTTCCCTTGTTTCTAATACATGTTATCAGTAAAGCAGAGTTTAATTTCCTTGACAGTTAGTTGAAATTTGTTGCTTTTTTAACATACTTTTTTCTTTAAAACCAGCTTCTTAGTTATAACCCGAGAATTCCTTCTGTCTAATGATGGAAACAAAGAACATTAATATTTTCTTAGGCAAAACTTATTTTTATAAATGACGTATGAAAATGCTGCCCCCACCCCTGCCCCCGCCAATCTGTCCTTTCCAAAAAGATGCCAGTTCCCTTAACAGAGAGTAGAAACAAAACGTAGCCGGCGGGGTAAGTGGGAAGCTGGCTTTGGCTCTGCCGCTGACTAGTTATATGACCCACAGTCTTTCTTGGCCCTCATTTCTCATACTCTGCATTGAGAAGATTGAACCGGATGGTCTCTGAAGAGTTCAACAATGCTAGGGCTCACGTGTTGGATACACGGCAACCAGAGCGATTTTAGCAAAACCTAAATTCGATTCTGTCATTTCCTTGCTTAATTCTCAGTGGCTCTGTTACCTGTAGGTAAAGTTCTGATGTCTTAATGTGACCTTCTCCCCTTCTCTGTCTTTCGAGATACATCCTGTACTACTTCTTATTTTAAATTTTACTCAAAATACCTCACTAGTTCCTGAAATACAGAATTTTCGCCTGTGTGCTTCTGCAGTTCCCTCTGCCTAAAATGTCTTCTAGTACAATTGCAGCCCACCTAGCCAAGTCTCATACAGACTTTTAATAGTAATTTAGACATTGCCTCTTTCTGAAAGAATCCAATAGAGAGAGACAAATTGATGTGGAGAGAGGAGATTGACATGACGATGGGTAATGGTGATGGCAGTTATTAACACTCTTTGAGTATTTACTTTGTGTTGGGCAATATGCCAAGAACTTGGTAAATGTTATCTCATCCTTAAAATAAGCCTCTGAGGTAGGTACTGTTATCCCATTTTACAGATGAGGAAACTGAGGTTTAGAGAGATGAAATAACTTGCCCAAGGGCATACACCTTATGAAGCAAGGTCCTGGAAGAGGTGGGAGGAGATGGGTCAAGGTCATTTGGAAGAGTTAACCTCAAACAAGAGGAGGGACAACTCATCATCTGAGACTGGAGGATAGAAGGTAAAGATGGATGTGGACATAAGTTTTTTTTGGTTTGTTTTTGGTTTTTTTTTGTTTTTTTTTGTTTTTTTTTTAGGGATAAGGTACTTGAGAGAGCTTGTGCCAGGTGATCCTGGCCGATAACCAGACCAGTGAAAGTAGGCAATTGTTTACTGAGGGTGAAGAACTTTGGGATTGAGTAGGGGGCTGACGAGGAGAGTGGTGAAGGTTTGGAATGGTGTTTGAAGAGACTGGAGACAACTGTCTAAGAATAAATAAATAGTGGTACAAACGCTATATAGTTTGTGATGATTATTTTTTAGCCCAGTGATACTCAGCCACTTGAATAAAGCACTAACAAGAGTAGATTTTAGTACTGATTCAGGGTTGTGTTTTTGCTGGGCAGGTGCAGTAGAAAAATAGGAGCCTAAAGGAGCTGAGGAGGATGTAGCGAGAGTAGTAAATCAGGATGCTCAGTCCTGAGTGGGGATGGAAGAGAGGCCGGAAGGGGACTCGGTGACTTAGGAGAACATGAGTGGCCATAAACCCCGAGGGCATTATGATCTGTCATTTGAATAAGTCAGTCATTGTCATGCAGTAAAGTCATTAGGCCTTGTTTAAGAATGTTTTAATTTTATTTTATAGTCAAGTGAAGTTGGAAATTGTTGATTTTTATAATAATATAGTATTAGATTTCAAAATTACCTTGAAGCCGTAAGTTCAACTCCCTACTGAGGGCATGAATTCCTCTTGTAACATCTTGAATGGTCATTTAACAAAATGGATCATGTTATTTAGAGATTAGTATGATTGATCTGCTGTTGATTTTGTACCTTGTATATGATCACACGCATAATCAGTCCTTTTCACGGTGTGTTTTCTTTGTGTGTGTGTGTGTGTATGTTTTTTACCAGCCCTCCTCTGATACACAGGATAAGCAGTGTGGTACTTGGAGACTGAAAATCACACCTGTTGATTACCTTCTGGGAGTGGCTGATCTGACTGGAGAGTTGATGCGGATGTGCATTAACAGTGTCGGGAACGGGGACATTGACACCCCCTTTGAAGTGAGCCAGTTTTTACGTCAGGTTTACGACGGGTTTTCGTTCATTGGCAATACCGGACCTTACGAGGTTTCTAAGAAACTGTATACCTTGAAACAAAGTTTGGCCAAAGTGGAGAATGCTTGTTATGCTTTGAAAGTCAGAGGGTCAGAAATTCCGAAACATATGCTGGCGGATGTCTTTTCAGTTAAAACAGAAATGATTGATCAAGAAGAGGGCATTTCTTAGAATGACATTACTCAGTTGTTATTTACTCTTAAGAACTCCTGAGAGAGACCAATTTGTAAGACTGTTATTGAGCATATCATTTGACTTCATTGTGGCTTTGACACAGAAACGTTTTCAGTTGTACTTGTTTTAAATTGTGTACAGGCTGTACATAAAATTACCGAAATGAATCATTTCTTATATCTTGTGAAAATTTGCGTACAGATGTTTGTATAGATGCCTATTTGAATTTTTGCCGGCTAAACTTCATCACTTATCTTTGTACATGTAAACATGCTTCAGGGTGCACTTTCTGCCATACCTATTTTAATTTACTTTGTACAAATTTGGAGTGATAATATTCAGTGGAAGCTGTTTATGATTTTAAGTTGGTGATTTTGTTATATGTAGAAAAGATTTCTTAGTTATACATCTGGACTTGAGCTTCCTGTTTAAATTTCTTGGAAATATTGTGCCAAGCCTCCAAAATAGGCTTATTCCATAGGACAAGAATTAAAAGTTATTAAGTTACCAATATACCTTAATTTTATGAGGTATTGTAGTGAAAATTCGTGTTATATTCTGGCTAATTCTAGACCATTTTGCGTCCATATGAAATAGCCTTCCAGAAAAATTGACAGACACCCAGGTGTCACTTTCTGCACTTAATTTTTGTCCTTTATCACAGAATGTCTTGATAGAGAATCGGCACTGACACTGTAATATTTTCACTGGTACTGGAGTTGAATTACACACTTACACATACAGCTGAAAAGGCAGTAGGGGTTATTTAGCAATTTTTGTTGTTGTCAGGTTTCATTAGGCGTGTTTGGAGGCTTTCCTGTTTTAACACCTATAAGAAATTACATCTAAATAATTATAATGGAGTTTTGATCTTTTTGAAATGTTAAGTTAATCCAAGTCTTTATAGTTGTCCAGTTGTGTTAATGGATAGTATAAAAAGTTGCCAAAGAAATTTTATCACGTACAATTCAGCAATAAGACAGTTGTCAACACAGTTGGGAATAAAAGCAGTATCACTAGAAATAGAAGTAGTCTCACTAGCAATATTTAGAATTGGAAGTTGCCTACTGAAATTAGTTAATTAGATTATTCCCTGTGATGTGAAACGGACTTGAGCATGACACCGCTGGCCGACAACCAGACATGTTCATTTGGTTTTGCAAATTTTGAGAATCTAATACTGGATTTTATTTTTGGGAAGATTTAGCAGCTCTATTTGCAAGGGCTTATTCTTTGAAAGTGTAATTTTCCAAAAATGATGACCTAAAGGAAAATAAAATATATATATGCCTAATAGACTAGGTTGGTTTGTTTGTTTTGATGGTAGTAAGTTTTTTTGATTTCCCTACTTGATACGCAGCTGAGATAGTCTGATTACATATTTTTGTTTCCTCTGCCACTTGAAGTTAAATTTTTTAATGTTAAAAGTAAAATAATGGATTGATGAATGTCTTACAGATGTTTATAACTAAACTCTTTGAATAAAATAATAAAATACAGAATTTAAGCTTATTTTTTGACCAAGTGAAAAATACTTAAACTGTTATAGCACTTTGGCCGAAACAGGAAACCTGATATAGACTAGCTTAACATGGAGAGTTATGATTTCTTAAAGTTAAGTCCAGAGGTATGGAGAGTTTCAGGAGAGATACCTCGTCACATCTCATTGACCTAAACTGGGTAACTTTCCCATCCCTCTGAACATGTGGGAAGGGGAATGAGATCACCCTGCTAGATCCAGGTGCCTTTACCTGAGGGAAGAGCAGACGCAGAAACCGAATTAGGGCATTGCCAGTATGGGAGAAGGAGAACGGCCTTTGGGTAGGCAGTCAGCAGTGTCTGCTACAGGTGTCATTGCTGCTGATACATTTCCACATCGTGTCGTGTACTGACACGGTGGGTGTCAGACCAGGGTGCGAGAGGCTCTCTAAATCTACCCTGGATGTCTCTCAGCTTTAAAGTGATTGCTCTGATATCACCTGCGGTAATGTTTTTCATCCTTATTACAAAAAGAAACTGGTTCTAGGTAACATGGCAAGTTCCTGACAGAATTCTGAAATAAAATTGTGTTCTTTCCTTCATAAGTAACTGCTGCATGTATTAAGTCAGAGTTTTTTCACGTTACACATTGCGGAGCCCTAGGGCTTTTTGAAGATGCCTCAAAGGTTTATTTATTTTTAACTGTCTGGAACAGTGTTCATTATGATGATGATGATGATGCTCATAGCACATTCCTAGTACCATTGTTAAAACAGAAGGTAGAAAACCCAAATACCCATCAGGATAAGAATGGGTAAGTAACAGTAGACTTGCCATACTGTGGAAGACATAGAAAGGCATAAATGAGAGATTGGCAGAATGGATTTTAAAACTTGATTCAAAATCTTTGCTGTCTACGGAAGACTCACTTTAGGTTCAGAGACACAAATAGATTAAAAGAATGAGAAAAGAAATTTTATGCAAACAATAACCAAAAGAGAGCTAGGCAAGTAGACTTCAAGATTAATTTTTTTTTTTTTTGGCTACAGACAAAAGCAACATGTAGTGTAAAAGGCTCAATCTATTGAGAATAGATAACAGTTGCAAATATATAACAATTACAGCTATATAAAACAACAGAGCTCCAAAATACATGAAGCAAAATCTGAGATAACTGAAGGGAGAAATCAACAATTCAGCAGTAATAGTTGGAGACTTTAATACCCGACTTCCAATAGTGGATAGAAGGACAAGTTAGGTCAGTAAGGAAGTAGAGGACTTGAACAACACTAGAATCCAGTTAGAACTAACACAGACATAACAGAACAAGCGGAGATGACATTTTTCTCAAGTACGTGTGGAACATTATCCAGAAAGTGTCAGGCCACAGAACAAGTCTCAATACAATTGAAAAGACTGAAGTTATACGAAGTATGTTCTCTGACCACAAATGGAGTGAAATTAATAATAGAAGTAAGATAGGAAAATTCATCAATATGTGGAAATTAAGCAACATACTCCTAAATAATCAGTGAGTCAAAGATGAAATCACAGGGAAATTAAAAAATATTTTGAGAGGAATGAAGAAGACACTATACAACTTACGGGATTCAACAAAAACAGTGCCAAAAGGGAACTTTATAGCTTTAAATTTCTACATTTAAAAAGAATGATATCAAAAGCAACCTAAACTTCTATCTTAAGAAACTAGACAGGGAATAATAACAGACCAAACCACGAAGCAAGCAGAAGAAAGGAAATAAAGATTACAGGAGATACAAATGAAAAGCAATAGAGAATATTGGACCAAAAGTTGGTTCTTTGAAAAGATGAACAAAACTAACAAACCTTTGGCTGAACTGACCAAGAAAAAGATGATTCAGATTACTAAGATCAGGAGCGAAAGAAGAGACATTACTACTAACCTTACAGAAACAAAGTTTATAAGGGAACATTCCCACTAATTCCAGAACATTTCCATCACCTCATCAAGAAGCCCTGTATTGTTAGCAGTCACTCCAAACCCCCCACCCTGTCAGTATTTCATATCAGTGGAATCATACCATCTGTGGCCTTTTGAATCGAGTTTCTTTCTCTTAACAGTTTTCTAGGCTTATCTGTGATGCAAGTGTCAAGAAGACATTGAAAATCTAAATGGAATTATGACAGAGATTGTTTCTAATAAAAAGAACTCCCAGTGAATAAAAGCCCAAGACAAAATGGCTTCACTGTTGAATTCTACCAGACATTCCCAGGTTAGCACCAGTCCTCAAATTCTTTCCAAAAAAGTAAGCAACACTTTCTAACTCATTTTATGAGGCCAGTATCATCCTCATACCAAAGCCAGAGAGAACTATAGACAAGTATCCTTTGTGAATATGAATGCAAAAATCCCCAGCAATATGCTAGGAAACCAAATTCCATCACGAATAAAAAATGATTGTACACCATGGCCGGATGGAATTTCATCTCAGGAATGCAAGGTTGGTTCAACATGAAAATCAATAAATGTGACACATCATATTAATAACATGAAGAGGAAAACAACATGGTTCATCGCCATGGAAACAGAAAAGTCACTTGACAAAATCCAACACCCTTTCATGATAGAAACACTCAAACTCAGTGGGAATAGTGCAACCTTGTGAGGATACTAAAAACCGCTGAATTGTATACGTTAAGATGGTGAACTTTATGTTATGTGAATTGTATTCCTATAATAATTTTTAAATGTTTTTTAAAAAGTGTATTTATTGGTTCCCTGAAATCTTTGAAATTGGCTGGTATTTTACTTAGGGGAAATTTTTTTTATTATTATTTGGGGGGGGAAGGAGGTAATTAGGTTTATTTATTTACTTATTTTATTATTATTATTTTTTAACGGAAATACTGAGGATTGAACCCAGAACCTTGTGCATGCTAAGCATGCACTTTACCACTGAGCTATACCCTCCTCCCATGGGAAAATTTTTAAAAAACTATTCAATTTCTTTAATTGTCTATAGGACAAGTTTTTCATCGTTTCCTAATGGTAAGTTTTGATAAATTATATTTTTCACAGGGTTAGTCCATTTTGTCTTCATTTTCAACTTTTGGGGGGATACAAAGTGTTTTGTTAGTTTTATTTTATTATCTTGGCTATATCTGTTTCATAGTACATATTTGTGTTGTCTATTTTTTTAAGTCAGTTTTGCTAGATGTTTCTCCATGATGTTAGTCTTTTTGAAGAATTAACTCCTGCTTTATTTGGCTTTGGTATTTGAGAGCCTGTTTTCTGTTTCATTGATTTATACTGTTATTATTTCCTTCTAATTTGGGGGGGTTTATGTTCTAACATTTTTATGATATATATTACCTTTTAATATTTTTGTTTAGCTATTTTCAGGCTTTTTCCATTGGTTTTATAATTACTTTTCAGTAAATGTGGAGTGCTTTTCTTGGTGAGACCCTGTGCCGGCCAGTCTACTTCCTGTATAATCCTGCACTGAGCCGCCTTGAGCCTTTATTTTCAGAGGACCAAGGGGTCCCTCCCCCCTCTCCCCTCTCCCCTGCAATCTGGAATTAGTAGGCGCTAATTAGCTCTTATTCGCTGACTTTCATTGTTTTCCTCCCCAATTTAACTGTTAATCCTGTGGTTTCTATTGGTACCACCTTTCTATCTCTTGACAGACTTTTCAGAAATCTACTTTAAAAAAATACCATTGGATTCTTGTGGAAGTCCTGTAGTTTATTTCTGAAGAAACACTTGGATCTGTCTTTCTGTGCGTGCACAGTTTGTTGCATCCAGAATTACGACAGTGGTAGTTGTCGCAGCCCGGAGCAGTAGCATTGCTGCCAAATGAGAGCTCTGTTGGTCTGCAGACAGCCTTACCTGTTTATAAGCCGCCGTCGGTTCCTGATTTGGAGTGGCTCTCCAAACAATGGATAAGGTTCTAGCTTCCGTCAGGGTTGGTGAGAGCTTTGGTATCACCGTTCAGCATACTTTCCTTTGGGGCTCTGTCAATCCCTGGAGAGATTACAGACAGGATCAGGGTCCTTGGATCCACTATGCTTAGAGCCACCCAGAAGTCTAGAAAGCACTTCATGGTCAACAATTTGGTCAGGACAATACGTGTCACATTTGCAATTCATGATCTTGTTTTTTTTTTTCAGTTGAGACTTGAAAGTTTTTAGATTTATACATTAAATGCCAACCCACAGGTAACAATAGGACTTAGCTTTTGTCTCAAAGTACATTTATATCAATTCAAGTAATTCTTAGAGCTCTGAGGTAGGCAGAGAATGGGAGTATCCCTCCCAACCCTCTTTATATGTAGGTAATGTGACTAAGACCCAGAGAGGTTAAGTAACTCACTCAAAGACCCAGCAGAATCCAGGCCTAAGGAAACTTAAGATTACAGCTTTTCTGCAAAAGCACACTACTTTTTGTGGTTCTTAATATTACACGTGACCTTGAGCAGGCTCACCTTGAGCCTTACTCTTTCTAAACCTTAGTTTTACCATCTGTTAAATAATAACCTGCCTTACTCTTGTCAGGTGTCTTTATGATTGAACAGCATAAGCTGTGTGAAAATGCATTACGGGGCGCGGAGAACCCAGGAATACAACTTACTGAGTAGACTGTACCCGAAAAATTTTGCATCCATCTGTGGGTGCTCTAAAACTAAGTCCCTGAGATCCAGATTAAGAGACTTTGTCATTGGAGGTATCCAGAAATGTCTCTCACGTTGTACACTTGTATGAGCATGTAGCTTCCATGGTGATACTTTGAAAGCGGCAGATACTCAACTTTGGTGTATTTGTGTGAGTAAAATTCTGGTATGTTAGCGAGTTTCTCGAGTGAGAAATGTCCATGACTTTCATGTCATTCTCAAATGTTTTTGACCTTAAAAAGCCAAGCATCACTAGTGTAGATGATTTCTTAAGGTCTCAGGCACCATCAAAGACTTTATAAATCCAAGGCTCCCGACTAGATGAAGCAAATCTAGGATTTATGAAGTAGTGGGGGTTTCTTTGGTTC